GGATATCCTATGATATCTATTGGAAAACAAGAAGGTATCACATTCCTAGAATTCTGAGGCCTTTGGTCCCTCCTTATTCATTAGCATACTGCTTCCTGGAGTTGTTTACTGTAGAAAGGATGGTCAAGCCAAGATGAGTGGTCCTGCTGTTTTTACTATGCATCGCTGATCCTGCTTTGCAGGTTAGCCCAGCCCTGACAGCCCCTGAGTCAGTTCTGACTCCTAACCACTCTTCAGGTTTCCAGGACTGTAAATCTTTATGGAATGGCAGGGGGTGGGGGGTGGGGTGGGGGTGGAATTGACCAGCTTTCTAGCAAGGAGCATCTGATGAACTAAAACTGCTGGTAGCAGAGCAACAAGTAATGCAATAAGAGACTAGGGCTCCTTACATAGATAAACTACATAGAGAGAGTGTGTGTGTGTGTGTGTGTGTGTGTGTGTGTGTGTGTGTGTGTGTGTAACATCACGCACACAGTTCCTGGCTTTAGAACAATGACACACTGTAGAAAGAGCACTGGGTGCCCTAGTTGGTCTTGGTGTCTCAGTACTCTTCTCCCAGGAGGACCAGGGCTTCCTGGAGAAATGCCTGATTCAGAGCTGGGATGAGGTGAGTCCAGAACAGTTTTCTGCCCTAGATAGTAAGGAAGTGTCCAAGGATCACGGGACAAGTCATAACGATAGTGATTATGGTTCATTCAATAAAATGAGAATACAGTCCCGGAGCCCCAAGGGGGGACTTTCCAGCTGGAGTCCCCAATACGTTCCTCTCACAAAGCAGAGTACCCTCATGCTCTCGTTTTAATCGCTGCAGAACCACATGCCATGCTGCTCTGTGGGAGAAGAATGGGCAATCCCCTCCTGTGTGATTCGGTTCCTCTGAAAACTCACTGCAGGATCAGCTATGGGTTGCTTCTGACTTCATAGTACAGAACAATTACTTTACAGCTTAGGTGTATATATGCTTGCTTGCTTCATTTGCTCTTATTAATACAGCATTTGCCTGCCAGTTTGCTGTACCAGGGTAACTTGTGGGATGCTGTGACGCTGAAAGCTATGCCGCTGGCTTGTCAAATGCCAGAAAGGTCGCCCATACAGTGATCAGGTTTCAGCAGAGCCCCCAAATTAAGATGGACTAAGAAACAGGACTGGCCATCAATGAAATGGCTTGACACAGTGACCACAGTAATGGGCTCAAGTATGTCAGAAAGGACGAGGATGACACAGACAGGTCAGGGTTCAGATTGCTTGTTCAGAGGTCGTTACACATTGTACTCGACTCCACAGCACCTAATAAGAACATGGTCTGACCAGAGTTCCCGTTAGTGGTGTTGGGTGCTGTTTGTTGAATTGGCTCTCACTCATCGCAACACACTGAACTCTGCCAATCCTGCACCGTCCTCCTAAAGCTAACGTTACCACCTGTCATCATCGTCACTGTGAAAATCCATCTCGCCAAGGGTCTTCCGATCCTTCCCAGGCCCTCCACTTTTGCAGAATCCCTGGGTGGTGCAAATAGTTAAGTGCTAGACTGGATGGAAGCTGGCAGTTGGAACCCTGAAGGCAGCTTGGGAGGCAGGCCTGCCTATCTGCTCCTGAAAAGTCATGGCTTAAAAAAAAAAAAAAGTCATGGCTTGCAAACCCCCTGTAGTTGAGTCTGCTCGCCTGCAGCTGCCAGGCGTCGAGAGTGACTCACAGCAACAGTCAATAACAACAGTCTGACCACAACACAGGAAGCTGGGTGCCTGCTCCTGAGACCGGTGCCTGGGGCACCAATGAGCAGGCCTCACCCAACTTACTTGCTTGCTGCTTGGTTTAGGCTCTTCGTCTAAGATCTTCAGTTGCTACTTACCCTTAAGATATCTAGAGTTTTGTTTTGAAGGAAAAAATAAAGAAAGAAAAAACAAATCAACCTAAAGCCAACAATGTCCATGGAATAACTCACTCTGCATATAAAAATTCAAAACTCACTGTCTTCAAGTTGGAACTGACTCGTTGACGACCCTGCGGTGAGTTCTGGGAGGCTCCACCCTGCACAAGAGGAGACTGCCCATTTTTCTCCTGAGGAGCTGCTGGTGGATTCGAACCACTGAAGAGACGCTGCCTTTGGTTTAGTAGCACAACTCCCTCTGGACTAGGCCATAGATCTCCCTTGACTCTACAGACAGGTAGGTAAGTAACAAAGGAATTTTGTGGAGTCATTTAAAATAAAATTCTGACCCCAAAATGTAAAGGAGCTAGGTCCCCCAAATTTAGTTACAAGTCTTCTGTGCTAGAGACGGCTTTCTACCGCAGAGTAGATCTGGCTGTCACATCCCCACGCTGACACACACGCCTGCATGCGCACACACACACACACACACACCCGACACCTGCGGCTGCACACCAGGCAGCGGTCTCCATTCTAACCCCAGCAGGACAAGGACAGGTGATTGGCTGAGCAAGAAGAGCATGGCTGACTGTGATGAGCGAAGGGTCAGCCCATTCTAACGCCGCCCTGTCAACTGTCCCAAACTGTACGCTTGGCTTGTCCCTGTGAGAACACCTCATTTGTTGAAGTTTACTGATTCTCAAATCACAGCCTGACTCAGTCTCAGTGTTTGCCCTCCCTGAACCATCTCTTTCAGGAAGATGGAGTCTTTGACTCATCTCCCTTCAGTATTTGGTTCAGTGTGTGCATTTTTCTCTTCGTCTGTCAGTCTCTCCCTCCTCTCTGCCCATCCATTTAGAGGTATCTCTTCTACAAGGCTGCATAGTTCCTGTCCTCAGGAACATCTACTCTTTTATCAATTTAGTCCAAAGGGGAGTTTAAGCTCATTCATTAACCATAAACACAAACCCTTCCAAGCCACGAGAGGTTTCCCTTCAGATCTTCCAGCAGGGCCCTGTGTCCAGGAGGAGTAGTGTAAGGAGTCAGGCCGGCCCAGTGACTCCCAGGACGAGTGAGCTCATCTGACCCTTTGTTCATTCATCTGCGAATGGCCAGGATTCTGTGACTGTCCACAGGAAGCAACTGCCACTGCGTCAGGCTTGCGTGAGAACGGAGTATCAACCCACAGGCCCCAGGGCGGCTCCCACGTGGATCACCTCTAATGCCCAATGCCTCGTCCTCAGGAAGAGCCACACGGAAGGTGGACAGGATGGAGGGCGCTGTCCTTGGGTGGGAAGTGGATTGTTGTGGGTGTAGGGTCCACGCTGGGAAGCAGCAGGGTGGCTCCTGACTAAGAAGAGATAGTTCCAAGCCTTGGAGTGCGCTCTGCACAGGGGAGAGAGGTACCGGGGAAAGGGCAGACCCCTCCTGGGTGTGACTTCTCAGAAGTGCCAGTAAGTTGGGATCATGGAGGCCAACACTCAGAAGAGTGCTGAGATCAAAGTCAAGGTATTCAACATCGCGAGTGCCAGGAGTAGAGAGGGCAGCCAGAGAGAGCTAGAAGATTCCAGCCAGGGAGAGTACAAGGCAGTGGGGCCTGCTGTGAGTGCTGAGCAGAGGGGGCTAGGAAGCAGATCCCACACCCAAAGCCACTGGCCCCTCAGTCTGCCAGTGATGGGACTGATTCACTCTCATCTTCACAGAGTCCTCGTGTATGAAATGGGGTAAAAGCTAGTGAGCAGAGCTTCTATGAGGGTCTACAGCTGTTAGGCGGGTAGAGCTGTGTCCACCCACAGAGCAGGCCCACAGCACATACTCGATAAATGATGGCTCTTATTGGATCCCTGCAGACCCAAAAGGTTCTACAAAGACCTGTTGTTGCTGGGTACCGTCAGAACCGGCCCAAAGAGGATTCTCTAAGTGAGTTTTCAGAGGCTGTGAATCTCAAGGGAGAAGACTGCTCATTCCTGTGGAGCAGCTGGTGGATTTGAATCACATACCTTTGCACTGGCTGTACAATTCCTTACCACCAAGCCACCAGAGCTCTCTCTCATAAGGCCTAGTGAGTTTTCCTGGTGAACAGCCATGTAGGCTAAGACCCAAAGATAATCCAGTATTAACCATAAAAAAAGAAAAAAGACCTAATGAATGGAATATAGTTTTAAGATATACACACACCATCAAGGTGGCCCTGGCAAGACAATGGTTAGGCTAAGCGGACAGGCTCGAACCCATCCAGTGGTTCTCCAAGAGAAAAGACCTAGCAGCCTAGCAAAAGACATGAAAAGACCTAGCAGTTGGTGGAAGTGTAAAATGGTGCAACCACTGTGGAAAGTGGTGTGGCGCTTTCTCAAAAAGTTGCAAACAGAGATACCATTTGACCCAGCAATTCCACTACTGGGAATATACCCCAAAGACACCATAACCGACATCCAAGCAGATATATGCACACCCATGTTTATCGTGGCTTTGTTCACAATAGCAAGAGTTGGAAACAACCCAAGTGCCCATCAACAAATGAATGGCTAGAGAAGCTGTGGTATATTCACACAGTGGAGTACTACTATGCTGCAATGAAAAACAAGGAACTCATGAAATATTATTCAAAATGGGTGACCCTGGAGGACATTATGTTGAGTGAAATATCTCAGTCACAAAAGGATAAATACTGTATGGTGCCACTGTTGTAGAGTGAGGCTGACATCAGGGTGGGCGTAAGACTGAGAAAAACTGGATAAATTCTGTATACTGCATTAAAGCCGATGAGGGAGAGAACAGTTTAAAAGCAATATATTTTAGGGCATTATGATTATCATAAGAGTTCGGAGGAGTTTTTCTTTTGCTTTTCAAGGAAAAGAGCGAACTAGGGGTGGGGGTGGGGTGGGTGGGGAGAAAAGAGCAACAATGAATGAATGGAAATCCAAAATCTCTGTAAATGTTCATTGACATTAGTTAAAAAAAAAAAAGAAAAGACCTAGCAGTTACCATAAAGGTTTCAGACTAGAAACCCTCCGGGGCAGTTCCACGCTGCGATACAGGCCACAACGGGTAGACTCGATGGCTGGTAACAACAATGCCACTGTCTTCAGTTCGTTGTCAAGAGCCAGACCTATTCCTTGTTCTCTGTTAAGTGTACAAATGAACCTTCTGCGGGAACAAACCCGAGCCTGAATGCAGGTACTGGGTGAGTGGGAGGTCAGCACCAACACTTCTGAGTCTTGCCTCCCATATGACGTGGGTTATGTAGGTGAGGGCTGGTTACGCAGCTTCTGGTGGGGACGGTGGGGGAAGGGCTGAGTGTGTTATAAGAACTCACTGCAGGCAGGCTCAATGGAAACAGACCACATCACAGACAGGGAGAGAGGGAGCTGGGCTCATCTCCGAAACAAACAGCAACAGAGCTTCTCTACTGGTGAGTCATCTGTCTTCCTCTTCACATTTAAGAGAAGGAAGGGGAGAATGAACCCCTCCGGGGCTTCTCAGATTCCTCCCTGCACCGAGCTGGAGCCGAGAGGGAAAATGCCCAGCCTTGAGGGCTGGGTGCTCTTATTTCAAATCCCATCTCTGCCACTGGCTGTGGTGAGAGTTCACTTACTTAGTAAACAGTGTAAACTGGTCAGCCCAGCACAGAGCTGGCATCGCAGGAACTGCTTCTCAGCTAAAATGGCAGGCGTCTGCTTGTGCCCGGGGGCACGCTATTGCTGAAGGAAAGCACCACAGGTTTCAGGATTTTAAAAAAGAAAAATTAAGGGGTTTGTTTAAAAAAAAAAAAAAAGATTCATGATCAAATTGTCTATCCTTTTTGTCATCTAACACTGTCATTAGAAACCCCCCTCCCTGCCCTCAAGTTAATTCTGACTGACCGGAGGTTTCCATCAGGTTTCTGAAGCCGCGGCTCTGAACAGCAGAGCTCCCGTCGTCTCCCTCTGAGCTGCCAGAGATGCACTGTCGTTTGATCTTGTGGGGTTGGGGGGGGGGTGTTATTATAATGATAGATGACAAAAAAAAAAGATATACAACTGATCATGCCCCTTAGCTTTTTTCTTGTAAAAGTCATGAACATTCCATCACCAGCGCTTCTTACTATGATTTTCAAAACCCCGTCAAACTCACTTGCCATGAAGTAGGAACAGACTCCTAGCTGAGCCTCCACGCGGCGTTTCTGGAGGCTGTAAATATCACAGGAAGAGATTGCTCTTCTTTCTCCCGCAGAGCCGAGGGTGGATTTGAACCGCCTGAGGGGTGCTGTCTTTGGGCTAACTGCCCGTCTCACGAGGGATGAAGCCAGAAGCCACCGGGGCTCCTTCTTATCGGAATAGTGTATTTTGCATATTTATTTCATGTTGCTACTGTTTTGAGCAATTCAAATACATTCCTTTACATTTACATTTAAATAATTTATCGCTAAAAGCGCCTCCTACACATCTTCGTCATCTCCTAGTTCATGTCAATAATAATAACTTATCATTTATTTACCAGGCAATTAGACAATTTTCAAAAATGTATATATTACCTTTTCCCCCCGTCCTGAGACAATTATCATTCACAGGACTTTAGTTATAGACGGTAAAGAAATGGTTTTCAGTGCAACAATGAATGAATGGAAATCCAAAGTCTCTGTAAATTTTCATTGAAAATTAAAAAAAAATTTAAAAAAAGAAATGGTTTTTAATATTTTCTAGAAGAGGATGTAAAATTTATTACTTACTGCACAAAATATGTTTCTGATGAGAGTTTCTAAATCTCTCTTCCAAGAAAGCAACAGATGCTTTTTTAATCAGAACACTTATGTTTTATCTGAATATCTACTTATCCGCATCTAAGGAAATTGAATAGTTCAAGGAAAGAAATGAAATATTTAGAAGATAAAAACCATACAGATCTATTTTTTGTTTTCAAGGGAAAGCAACTGAAAATATTCCATCCACACAGAACTGTGTAGTCCAAATCTGTCACTTGGGAGCTCTGGCGGCTTAGAGGGAAGGAGTTGAGTTGTCAACTCAAAGACTTCAAGGTTCAAACCCAGCAGCTGCTCTGCATGAGAAAGCTGGGCAATCTCCTCCGATGCCATTTACAGACTTTGAAAACTCACTGGAGGGTCAGTCATGTGTCAGTTCTGACTCATAGGGCTTAACAACAATGTGCCATTAAGATACTATCTCAGAGGACACCGCCAACAGTGAGGGCAACGCCTTTTGGGTCACCAGGAGCTTGTCCAATCCGTGAGCTCTCCCCGCCCCCACCAGAGCATTTTCCTTTCCTGGTAAACAGCCAGCACAGAGGGAAGGGTCAGTCCTGTGGCCGGCACTCAGGGGTCTGAGCTGCCCCAGCCAGCAGACAGGAGAGCCACCTGTGGGCCGTCTGGGCTGCAAGGACAGGGCCTCCTGAGTCCACTAGACCCCCAGTGATTTGGTGAGTTCTCCCTGTCCCCGACCTACAGCCAGCAGACAGGTCAGCGACCTGTGGGTTGCCTGGACCAGCCTGCAGGAAGGACAGGGCCTCCTGAGTTCAGTGGATCCCAAGTGGCCTGGTGAGTTCACCCTACTTGTGACCAATGCATTCACCTCCAGCCAGCAGAGAGGGAAGAGGCCTGGGGGCACCAGCTGGATGTCTGCGCTGCCCCCATTAGCAGGCAGAGAAGCACCCTGGGGTCGCTCAGAAGTCAGTAGATAGGAAAGAGCCTCTTGGGCCATCTTGAGGCCACCTAACCCCTGGTGATCCCAGGAGTTCTCCTCTGTCCCAATCCATGCATTTGCCTCTGCCAGGAAGCAGTGTCCTAGGAGGAAGGGTAGTGGCAGGGCTCCTGAGGATTGCTGGGCCACAACGAGGGGGAGAATCACTGGGTTTGCATATGGAGTTCATGGGCCAATGGTAGTTGGTGCTGTGTCCCATCAAACAGGAACAAACCCACTAGTGGGTTTTCAGAGGCAGTAAATCATAGGAGAGGAGATTGCCCATCCTTCTCCCATGGAGCAACTGGCAGATTTGAACCTAGGCCTCTGAGATTGCAGCACAGCTTTTACTACTAGGATACCAGGGCTCTCTTCTCCACTGCTGGGAAATAGCCAGCAGAGAGGGCAGAGTTCTGCAGCAGCTGCCGCCCACAGAGGACAGGTAATGGGGGGCTCCTGGGCATTGGGTCACAGAACAAGGAGGAGAATCACTGTCATTGCGTATGGAGTTCAGGGGTCAATGGCACTCTTGGGAAAAAGCAAGATCCTGATTCATATTCTGAACAGAAAAGGCACTTTTATCCCCAGTGTAAAGCAATGAGCACAGGCACTGTTTGGTCTACTTATCTGGGACATGCTGTCAGTTAGCTGACCTGCCCCTCTTGGTGGTCATCGCACTTTGAGGTGAGGGCAGGGACTATCTGAGTGGTTGTCACCTTGGTCTTATCTCAAAATGAAAAGGTCTATCCAGGATGGAAAGGAAGAAACGGGCTGGACCAGGAATGACACTGCTTCCTGTTGGAATAAAGGTATCTGAGTGGATCAGAAGGAGGCAGAGACTGAAACTTTTTCACATGTCTATGTCTGGCCACTCAATATTCTGATTTTGCGAATTTTTGTAGACAACCTGTCCAAATGTCTGTTCTTTTTAGAATACCTTCTTGAGGTGCTAGGAGACACGACAGAGGGTCCCTCGAAAGATACACTGAGTATTTGCGAGCAGGAGGCATGGAAGAGGCACGCTGCCGCACTGTTTCCCTTTGCTTACACGCCACAGGTGACCCAACAGCTGTGTCCTATCTGTGACCCTCAGCAGGGTCTCAGGGAAGACAGAGGGGTCAGATGAAGCAAGCTCCTGAAAGGACCTGGCAGGAAAAGCTGTCATTCGCTCTGTGCTCTAAGTCTCTGGGCAAGGCTGGTCTCCCACCTTACCGACGAGCTCACCCAGCTTGAAATGGGAGCCCCATTTCAACAGGCCCTTTCATTTGATAAATCATCATAAATGTTAAAATAAAGGCCTTCCTCCAGTGGAAATCAACCTTTTTACCTTTTCAAGACTAAATATAATTATTTAAGACTAAATATAATAATTCAAGACTGAATAAATCCTCTTTGGAGATCATTGTTGAAACAACGGTTTCCGTAAGAGAAAGCATTTGGTGACACAGCTATTATCATGGCCATGATCACAACCAACTGTAAATATGCTGAAGAAAAGATAACACAATCTCTTTATGTGGTAGAGAACTGTCTTCATAGTTTACTCTTTTCCTCTCCCTGTATTCATGTTCCTTGTAAGACTGCATTTTCTCTCAAGGGCATTGCATTTACGGAGTCAAAGGCAGTGGGTAAAAATGGTGTAGGGAGGAAGTAAAAAATTAAGAGTTAAAAAAAAAATAATTAAGAGTTACATGATGACCTACTGGCACTTTCTTCTCTTAAGGTCTCACACTATCAACCATCCTTGTATCGAGACTCTATGTTCCTTTGTTCATAATATATGTTTATGTTTGATGTCTCTATTTAAAAAAAAAGAAAGCATTTTGAATGAAATGGGAAACATTTTTTAAAGATAACATGAATTTTGAGGTCATACAATTAGTGTGTCACTTGCACTGGTAGCCTAGTGGCAAGAAGCTGTGCTGCAATTCAGAAGGCACAAGGTTCAAATCCACTAGCCTCTTCGCGGGAAAAGTATGGGTTGCGATTAAATGCCTCTGAAAACCCACCAGAGGGTCAGCTATGGGTCTGTTCTGACTTGAGAGTACACAACAACAACAACAACAACTATATCCTGAAGGGTCTCTGATGCCAGGGATTGTTGAAATGATTCATGCAATTACACAGGCCTCCGTCAGATGGCAGCATGCATTAGAAGTGGGAAAGGAGTTTCCCACTAAACTCCAGAGGTGAAACAATATAAGTGTGTGCTCTAGATCTCACAGGTTATGAAAGGATTAAGAGACTCCTGAAAAAAATCAAGCTGTCTTGGGAAATGAGATTCTGGTGGAGGAATACCAAGCTGTGACATGATTTTTATTAAATGCCACTAAGTTGTCTATTACTCAAAGTAACGTTCTGAACAACAGATCTAAGCCTTGCCTTGTCCTGTACCATATCTGATGTCTGAATCGTAGGAGCCCACAGTTACAATCTGTCAATTCATCCAGTTAGGGGTCTTTATCCCTTTCGCTGACCCTGCCCTTTTCCCAACGAGATTTCTTTGTCCAAGGACTGGCCCCTGCCAACAATATACCCCAAGTATGTGAGGTGAAGTTTCACCATCCTTGCCTCTAAGGAGCACCCCGGTTTCACAGAACACCCTGGTTTCACTCCTCCGTAAGTGAAAGGGCAGACCTGTTGCCTCTTTCAGCAGTCCCTAGGATAGCCAGTACTCCAAAACTAGAATTCAAAGCATCAATTCTGTCCTCCTTATTCATTGTCCGACTTCCAGACACATAACAGGGAAAAAACCCCAAATGACATGGGTCAGGCACATCTTAGTTTTTATTAAAGTGGATCATCATTCCTTGATTTGGAAACATATTCACTCTTCAATACCAGAGACAATGGAGAACGGAAAGTTTTTGTCCTCTGCTGTAGCTGTTCTATGACCCACCACCTTCTTCTTTCTGTGTGCAGTTCCTTTTCCACCAATACGCACTGGCAAGTTTCTCCTGATTCATGATCATTTCTTTCATCTTGTCAGAGTGTCAATGGGGCTGCACGGGGCACGAGGGCTGGCACTCAGGGTCTTTTGGCAGACCAGCTGAGAGAGGCTGCACATGAGGGGATGCAGAGCTCACATCTTAGTTTCTAAACTGACATCCTTGCTGCCTTTAAAACTTTGGAGATGTCTTTGACAGTAGATTTTCTAATACATCTTTTGATTTCTTGACTGCTGTTACCATGGGTGGTGACTGTGGGTCCAAATAAGATGAAATCATTGACAACGTCAATCTTTTCTTCATCTGTGATGCTGTTTATTGGCCCAGTCGCGAAGGTTTTTGTTTTCTTGATATTGAGATGTAATCTATATTGAAGGCTGTAGTCTTTGATCTTCTGTAGCAAAGTGTTTCAAGTGGCATATGACAGAGGGGAAATTTTGGGTAGTGGTTTGGGAACCACCCACTTTCCTGGTGATGAAGGAGGCTCAGCCACAGTGCTAGACAGCCTTGGATTTTTCTTGGTCTTGCTTAATCTATGCAAGTTACTTATATATGCAGATTATCAGTCACCTATGCAAATGAGGGGGACGAGAGGCAAGATGCAGTGCTACTCCCATCTCTAAACTCCTCCAACTGCCTCCAAACAGAGAAGTAGAGTCACCCCCAAACCTATCCCAGACTCCAGGACATCTCCTTGACAGTAAAGCCCCCTGGGAAGGTACTTCTTTTACTATTAGCAATTCAGGGGTCTAATTTTACAGGAAACGGAGCACAGGATGGGTGCTCAGCTGCTCTGAATCATGCGTGGATAAAAGTCAGGCCTTCTCACTGAAAAGCAGTCCAGCTCTTCCAAAAGAAACTCGGAGAGTCAACTCTCCTTTCACGGCAGTGTGGCAGGTTATCGGGGGAGGAGAGGTGGGGGTTATTTGGTGGATCTCCCAGACCAGAGGTCCAGAGGATCTTAGGTATGAAGAAGAGTCCCTTGTCCTGTCTAAGCCCCCATCTTTGGTGGTCCTGGTTGGGTTCCTATTGAGTAACAAGTATGTGCGTTGAGGAGAAGTGATCACCACATAAATTGGTCAGTGAGGTGGCGAGAAGACCAGGAGGGCCTCCTCTAGTCCTAAACACAACGCTGCATTTTCACTTGCAGGTGTTCATCAGAGCAGAAATCATGGACGAGGACTACGAGGACTACGAAGACCCCGGGCTTTTCAGCAGCTCCAATGACAGCAAACAGGTGCATGAAAACTTCCTGCAGTTCAAGAAGGTCTTCCTGCCCTGCGTGTATATAGCCGTGTTCCTCTGTGGCCTGGTGGGGAACTCCCTGGTGCTGGTCATCTACGTCTTCTACCAGAAGGTGAACAGCATAACTGACCTGTTCCTCATGAACTTACCCCTGGCTGACCTGGTGTTTGTCTGCACCCTGCCCTTCTGGGCGTACGCGAGCGTCCACGAGTGGGTCTTTGGCAGGTTTATGTGCAAGATGGTGCTGGGTGTCTACACCCTGAACTTCTACACGTCCATGCTCATCCTCACCTGCATCACCATAGACCGCTTCGTCTCCGTGGTCCAGGCCACCAAGGCTTACAACCAGCAGGCCAAGTGGATGTCCTGGGGCAGGGCCGTCTGCACGATCATCTGGACGGCCTCCCTGCTGGTTTCCCTGCCGCAGATCATCTATGGGAACACTTTCCCTCAAGACAGGGTCGTCTGTAGTTACAGCAACGCAGACATTTCCACGATGGTCCTGGCTACGCAGCTGACGCTGGGGTTCTTCCTGCCTCTGCTCACCATGATTGTCTGCTACTCAGTCATCATCAAGACCTTGCGGAAGACCCAGGGTTTCCAGAAGCACAAGTCTCTAAAGATCATCTTCCTGGTGGTGGCCGTGTTCCTGGTGACGCAGACCCCCTTCAACCTTGTGAAGCTCGTCCTCAGCACGAGCTGGGAGTACCACGCCATGACCCGCTTCCACTATCTCATCGTCGTGACTGAGTCCATTGCCTACCTGCGGGCCTGCCTTAACCCCATGCTCTATGCCTTCGTCAGCGTCAAGTTTCGGAAGAACTTCTGGAAACTCGTCAAAGACACCGGCTGCCTCCCCTATGTGAAGGTCTCGGGTCAGTGCAAGTCTCTGGAAGACACTTCAAAGATGAGCTCTGTCACTCACAATGCAGAGGCCACGAGCATGTCCCAACTGTAGGCCAGGCCAGAGCTGGGGGAAGATGCGTAAGAATTGACCAGAGAACGGCTGTGTCTCCTGGAGGAGACAAGGGAGGCTTTGCTTACAGCCGTGCGTTCTCATGGAGAGGTCTTCAAACAGCGCAGCTGGTCTGGGATGCATGGACATGCACAAGCTCGGTTTTCTTCTTGAATACCCTTGCCTCAAACTCATTAGGGCTTTTTCTCTCTCATCCCTGTGAATGCGAACGGCAAGGGGAGGAATGTGTGATTAAAGATCTCGGGTTCTCCTTCCCCGGGACTGGAGACATGAAGAGGGCATCACAGCTGACAAAGCTTCTGAGAGAAGGTGACATTCTGGGCTCCCAAGTTCAAGATTCTTCTAGTCCCTGAGCAAGCAGTGGAGATGAGAGCAGCTTTGGAAACCAGCACGAGCCTGGCCAGCTTCAGCCTCAATCAGCAGAAACGAGCTCACGTTCTGCCCTGTCACGGGGTTTTTGTATGACTTTGTACAGTGGTTTTTGAATGACTTTGTACGGGAGATTATGTATGTCTTCTGGGTGGACTGGCCCTGGGACACGGAAATGAGCCAAAATGGACAGAGAATCCCAGTGGTCTGTGGCATGAATGCTTCTACGCAAAGCATAGTTTAAAACTGTCAAGAATCTAAGCGTTTCAGAAAGGCAATCTGTGCTGGGTTAGATCACATAAAAACGGAATTACCCAACGTGTGACATGTGTACAAACATACATGTTTGTAAGTATATTATACACATGCATGTAAATACATTAAATAGCGTATGTTTTTCACAATAAAGAAACAAAATCCATTTTAAAGTCTCCAAACGAGTTTCATCCTTAAGTGCATTCTAATTTGTTATGCTTGGAGTACACCAGAAATGGTTTCTCGTGTGCTTACAGGACAGGAAATACTCGACACTTTCAGAATACTGCCCATGAAGGAAATGAAATACAAAATACACAAGTGATAACACCCCAGTTCCTTCACTGTGGCTTCCAACCTCATATCCAAAACACGCAGTGCGTTTATGGCCTCTAATGTGCTCACAGGATGTGGCAGCTTTAAATGTCAGATGTCTGATGCCTGTTTACTAGAACCTGGCAGTGTGCACTACAGGGTTAGTGATGGCGGCTGGGGCTCATCCACTGCAAAATCACTCTACAAAACAGGAAGACGCAATCGACAATAGTTGAATGGGGCCTGTGGAGGGGGGTCCAGACCTGGCTTAGTGGTGGCTCTTGGGCCTTGGGCAGAAAAGCTTCAAACCCCAGCTCTGCCTCTAACCTTTAGGAAGTGGAAAGACCCTGGACAAATTTCCTAGCCTCTAACTACCTCCACTTTTTTGGGGTATTTTGGGTTATTTTTGTTGTTGTTGTTGTTGGGACAAGATCAAAACAGTGCCAGGGCTGGGGTAAAGATGGTGTAACAGATGCCAAACGATGGGGAGAAAGCCAACCAAACGTTCTGCTGTTGGATTACTCAGATTCTGACTCCGAGCGGCCTCCTAGGAAACAATGGCACAGCCCTCAGAGGCTTTCCAGAGCCATGGATCTTTCTGGAAGCAGGCTGCCACGACTCTCTTCTAAGGAGCAATTGGTACGCTCATTCTGTTAGCAGCCTAGCGCTTTAACCATTGTGCAACCAGGAATCCCCTGTGGGTAGAAAGACTCTAGAAAGTGACTTTTGTTATTGCTTGGCAGATCAAAGGACAGAGTAGAAGGGCTCTTAGTCCCTGCCGGTCAGGTGAGGCGTGCACCCTGCCTGGTGAGCTGAGCACTGGGAGCACTTTGCAGGGTCCATCCACTCCTACCCACCAAGACCCCACTATTATCCAGAGGATTCTGACTTATGGTGACCCTTCACTGGGTCTTCCCATCTTTCTCCTGTAGAGAAGAGGGTGGATTTGAACTGCTGACCTTTTTGTTAGCTGCATAACACTGAACCCATTACGCTGGCAGAGCTCCTTCCACCCTATGTGCACACTTTCACGCATGCCCAGGAGTGCTCTTGCACTGTCCTCTGTCACACAGGCCACCCCACCACGAGCCTCCTCGCACAACAAAGCTGTCCTGGTGACACACTGGCATGTCTCTTCTTTTACCAGGCCTCGGAGGGGACGCTTTCATTATCTGCCCTTTGTGGAGTCATATTAACCCTGTACAGATCTGAAGCAGGGACACTAATTCCCAGCAGCCTCCTCCAGGCAGAGGCCCTGAGTGGGGCAAACAGACATCAAGAGCGGCAGGCAGGGTCCTGCTGTGTCTCCACAGGCGCTGATGGCCAAAGCCCCCCAGCTCCCTACAGGAGGAAGCAGTGAGGTGTGAAAGGAAGGAAAGGCCAGGGGGTCAGTCGGACCCTGTGTCAGCAACAGCTCCACCTCTTTCTTGAGTGTCTCTGAGTAAGTTACTCAGACCCCCAAAGCCCTCATTTCACCGTCCACATCACAGGTTAAGGCCACCTTCCTTTCTGGGGTATTTGTGAGGAACACACTGTACACCAAGAGCCCAGCACGGGGTCTGAACAATCACAGCAACAGAGGCAGCTGCTGAGACCAGTCAGTTCTCCCCACCAAGTACCTACGCGGCTGGAGAACTCACAGAGACGAGGCCTCTATTGGGGCACGTCCTACCCGAGGCTCCCTACACCCTGACTTAGCAAAGCCCTGTCTGCTTACCCCCAAGAACAGCGCAAGAGCAGAACGTTCCCTCAGCACCTCCATCCTCCTGGTCCCACACTCTCAGGGCCCCTAACTGCTGCACTTGGGGAGAGACAGTTCTTTCAGAACTTCCTTGGGCACACAGCCTTATTGGCAGTAAACGCAGGTATGGCATCAAGCAGGCTGCAGAGGGATTTTGTGGTCTTGACTTCGTACAGTTGACACCACCAGATGAGGAAACTGAGGTCAGGCTGGGGCAGAGGCAGGTAGTCCCAGACCTGTCCTTCTTCTCCCCTCAACTCACACACACCAAAAAAAGACATGGAATAGACAGAGGTCTGGAGAAGACCGGAGGCCAGAGACCAGAGGGACAGCCAGGCTGGCTGTGGCCATGGATGTCTCGACCACCTCAGGGATGGCCTGATGGTACAAGAGTAAAAATAAGCTCCTTTGGCACGGTGTTCTCACCTGAGACACAGCAGATGCCTACATGGCCCCTAAGTCCTGAGAGGAACACTGATCAGGGGCTACCTGAAAGCAAAGAGCCCAGGTGTTCTCAGGTGGGCCAAGGGCACAGGCCCAGAAGGAAGAAGGCAGTTACTCTGGCCTGCTCCTGCAAGGGGCTCTCAGGCATGAGTCCTCCGTGGTCTGTGAAGCTTACACTGTCACGTCAAGGAGGGCTGGCATTACTGACAACCTTTTCAGATGAAGAAACTAGTTCAGAGAGATTAACAACTGCCAGAGACCCCACAGCAGAGCTGGGACTTTCCAGCCCCAGAGAAGATGCAGCTTGGCCCCCAAAGGTTGGCCATCAAGGCCTTTCATGCAGCTGACACGACCACGGGGTACCTGCCAACTCTGTGGCCCAACCCGGGGAGCAGGGTGGCCTTCGAGCAGTAACCTCTCTCACCATATCCTGTCCCTATTTTGTTTCTGAGACATAAGCGTCAATCTCCTGACTGGTGACAAATCAACCACAGGTTCCCCAAAGTACTCTGTTCGCAAAATAACAGTTTCGATGCAATTGCTGGCAAAGGATGCTCTGTGGACCCAGGGCAGACTCTGTTCGTTACCCAGGACCATCTAGCCAAGGGGCGATTTTCCCATGAGGAGCTGCTAGACTCCCCGGTACAGGGACCAGGCAGCCCTGGTTATATGGAGCTCAGTTAACTGACATCACAGGTCATCAGATCGCTGTGAAATGTGGCTCCTCCACCAAAGACTTCCCAGGGGGCCAGACATCTGGTCGGATGCGTGGACCACAACAATCTCCTGGGGGAAGGGCACTGTTGCCATCTCTTGTGTATCATGTGTTCAAGGAGGCTGTGCGGGTGTCTCAAGTCACGAAACCTGATGTGGAAGATGAGATTCTCACCAGGTGTGCCTGATGCCAACTGACAGCTCTTCGTCACCTTATAGGCCACTCGCCAGGTGACCAGAGCGGGGGAGGGGCTGAGGGAACCAACATCCGGTGCTTCTCCCCGCACCTGTCCTACCTCCTGGCACGATTCACCAGCTGACAAGGGTTTGACTTCCTTTGCTGTCTGTCCCCTCAGTCCCTGGAATGGATGATGGTCACGGTGAGGCTGATGGGGGCTCAGGCGACAGAGTGGGCCTGCCTGAAGGATTCTGGGAATATCATCATTTCACTATGGGTGATGGGCTATGGTCCTGCTCCCTACTCCTTTTTGGCACTGAGTCATGCTCTGGGGGACACAGGAAGGTCACTTTGGGGATGCACAGCATCCTGCCAGGTCTCCCTGTGAGGTGGCCTTTGGGACCTCCTCTTGTCTCATTTCCTGGAAGCACAGGGCAAGCAACTTCCTCAGCCCACACAAGTGAAGGTGTGGGGAGCCCATGAACTGGAGGGAGCAGTGCTGGGTGCAGCGCTGAGTCCCACGCAGACACATGACCTTGAGCAAGTTCTCCAGATTTCCATTATTTACCAGTAAGTTAGGGACAATAATCCCTACTCCCTAAAGGGCTATAAGGTACTAGGAGAGGCCACGTATAAGAGTAACTGGGCGGAGAAGGTGTTCAGCAAGGAGTCCTCTCAGCAACACTCCCTCTCGGCAGTCTCATCAGATGTGGATTTGCCTTGTATTTAATGCCTCCTAGATCATGTCTAAACTTCCTATCATGGTGCAGCCAGAATGCTCCATGGAGGCAAAGATGATAAAGTTTCATCTCACATCCTTAGGGCATGCTGCTAGGAGAAGCTATTCCCTGGAGAGGAACATCATACTTGGAAAGGTGGAAGGTCGGTGAAAGAGAGGAAGACCCTCAACACGGTGACAGCTGCATGGGCTCAAGCACCTCAGAAAGTGTGAGGACGGCACAGGACGGGACAAGGCTCACATCAGTTCAGTGATCAGACTGTTCAAAGGACCGCTCGCTAAGGTGGCTACTCAGCTGAATGGCTCCAACAACAATATTGCTCACACCCTTTCTTGATTCCTGGCTTTTTTTATCAGACCTTGTATTTGTTGTTGTTATGTGCCATTGAGTTGTTTGCGACTCATAGCGACTCTATGTACAACAGCCCTAAACCCTGCTCTATCCTGTGCCAATCTCATTGCCTCTGACACACCCATCCTGATTACCCCAGTCACTAAATCAATCCACCTCATAGAGGGCCTTCTCCTCCTGCACTGTCCCTCCCCCCTCCCAAGCATGATGTCCCTCTCCAAGGACCTGTCTGTCTCTCCTTACAACATGTCCAAAGTATGTCAGACGAAAATGTAAAACAGTGCTCCTAAGGACGCTTGGGTTCATCTCTGCACAAAGCACAGAGATGTACAATGAAGTCCTGCCTGACTTAGAGGTTTGCTCTTCACCCAGAGATGAAGCTCAGGGGACTGCGGGTCGCCATCGCCAGGCCCAGATCCACCCTGGAGCCCAAGGACCTGCACCCAGTAGTTTCCTTTCCCTGCAGCGGTTCCTGATTTCCCATGGCTGAGGACATGTCTAGTGTTAGTGGTCAGAGCGCCTCCGGTGTTTGTCTTTCCTGGGAAAGGGGAAGGCGAAGGCTGGGAGAGCTGCAAGGCTGTTGCCTCCCTGTGCGGTCTGCTTGAGGCGGCTCCGGAGCAGCAAGATGCTTCCAAGCCAAAAACCGCCCTCCCAGCCCGAGCATCGCAGTTCTGCTCACCTGACCACCTACCCACCGGCTGGGCGCTGAGTCAGATCAGTGGGGGGCTGCCAGGCGACAAAGGTAGATTGCACTTGGTGCTAACAGAGCAGAGCATGTTCTGAGCCCACCGGCTGCAGGCTCACAGGTCAAAGAGGGGCTTCAGAGAGGAGTGTACCAGCAAGGAAAAGGGAAGACTCGGAAGCAAAAGTGAACAGGAGCCAGTGCTGGGTGGGTGACCAGTGTGGTTCCATCCATGAGGCTACAGCGGAGCAGAATGAGGCACATGCTGGCGAGAGAACTGAAGAGTGTGGGAGAGACACGTTGGCCTAAAGTCTCAGATTAAGTAATCTCCCACACAGCAGAAAGCGGACGCTGTAGCCTACAGACCAATCGTCATTCTCAACAGGGCGACGCTAATGTGACTCAGCAGGAGCATCTCCAAACTCCTAAATGGAAGTGACAGTGGGCGAAGCCACAGCATGAGATCTGGGAGCCACACCCATTCTTCCTTGAGCTTCTGAAAAGCCAACACTTTACTGTCCCAACGAGATTTAAGGACAGACGCCACCAGGGGCTGAGAAAAGCCAGCCGGACTGGCCGGAGGGGAGCTGGGCCTTTCCTACGAGTTCCATGGTATGGACTCTTGACATTTTTGTCCTATCTTTGACATATGGTGACACTCTGCACAGCTTATTTCTTTTCGTTACTTTTGTTTTAAAAATAATTCTTGAGAAACTTTCCTTAAAACCTTGTTTGGAGGGGAAAAAAAAAACCAAGCAGAAAAACAAGCAAGTCAAAGGAGAGCTGCTAAACTGCCCTGTTGCTGATGCTCTTAACTCCCCAGCGTCAGGAGGCCAGTGGGTCTGGGTTATAAGAGAGGACACAGTCATGACGCTGTTCAGGACAGCACAGGGTAAGAGATTTGAAAATGTGTGTGTGTGTGTGTGTGTGTGTAAAATAAAAATACAGTATAAATATATAATGTTGTTAAGTGCCATTGAGCTGTAGACAACTCGTAGCGTCTCTATGAACAAAGGTCTTGAACATGAAAATCTTTCATCTTTTCTCTAAGTTCATAGAGTTTCTGGAGGCAAGTTATTTCAGAAGTGGGTGCCACTTACTTCTAAGCCTGTTTTAATTTGAGAGATCCACAAACACTGTCCACCATGGGTAACCATTATTACATTCGACGCATCAGTGTCATAGCATGTGGCATCAAATATATATACACATACGTGTATATATATGTGTATGGGGGTGTGTGTGTATATATATATATATATATATATAAACATATAAATAATATAAATATACAAATATAAATAAATAAACATAGATATAACATAAATATAAAAATAAAACCATTTTGGGGCTATGAGAGGGCTTACCTGGAGCTTAAGTGGATTCTTAAGAGAAAGCACCTGTCCATGGAGGAAAATGGAATCTACACTTCCTTTCTCAAAGCACTGTCATCTATAAGCATTGCTATCTATAAAATCACACTCAAAAGTGACTGTGGTTTTCAAAGTATGGCACAATGCTCCATGCACGGCTCAAACATTCACCACCCAGGACAGGCCTTCCTGGGTGTACTGTGGTCAGGGAGACCACTGAGGGGCCACGGGCACTTACTGACGGGGCTCAGCACTGACCACACACAAGAGGCTCTCCAGCCCTGGGGGTCTCTGCGGGGCCGTTCTGTGCTGAGCAAAGACAGCCCCACCAGCAGCCAGAGCCTTGCTGTCTTCAACCTCTTATGAGGTACAAGGGCAAGACATGTAATTGGCACTTGGAGCAAGGAGATGATGTCTACTCACTGTTCAGCCATGTTTGGGTCAAGAGAATCCGTTTCAGTGGGTGTTTCAGGGAAGGAGGAGGTGGACTCCTGAATCTGGCATAATTCCTCGTCAGTGATGATGTCAAATACAGCGTCGTCTGGTGACCTGTAGTCTGCATGTGGCCACAGAGGGATCAGGAGAGAAGAGACAGGTAAACTGTTACACATGGGATGAAGGGAGCACAGCTATGCAGAGAAAGCCACCAGGCACAGGTTAAATGCTCATTCAACTGGCAGCTATTCTGTGTGGATGTCAGAGAAATGGCTTTGGGGACATTATAGAAAAGAAGAGACTCTAGGTGAAACTGGACGCCCAACTTCAGGGACTTCTCTGAGTCAGGACTTAGAGATCTGAACTCTTTTACACGTTCTCTGAGGTCCTTTACTTAGAAGGAAAGAATCCAATAAATAGAAAAGAAGGCTGCACTGAATGCTTGCTCCCAGGACACAGTAGTAGGATTCATGTCTCATTGAAAATTGTATCCGAAGTGCATTTTGTCTCAATAACAACAAGCATGTGGGTGGACAAGAAGTTCCCTCTGTTCCAGGACTTTCAGCTGGCATCATCCTCTCCCCAGGGGACCTGTGACCGACTCTGCAGGCCACTCAATGGCTTGGGGACTCTTGTGCAGCCGCCACCAACAAGCACCTCTTGCACATGTCATGGAAAAGATAATGGCAAGTCTGAGGCAAACCAAAGAAATGAGAGAGATGAAAAGGCAGGAAACGTCAGAGGCCAATGAGTGACAGACACAGTGCCACTCTGTCATTGCTGGCATGCCCACCAGCCAGTCAGGGGCAAGGGTCCTGGGCTGTTTAACTGAGATCATTTGATGTGAGTTATGAGTTCTCAGCTGGCCCTGCAGCACGGATACTGGGACAGGCTGTGCTTCACAGAAACGCTCCTCCTCCTGCCTGAAGTCTGTACAAGGGAGAGCTGGAGGGACAGGCCAGTCAGTGGCTTCTTGCCATGGACTTGGCCATACTTCTGAAGCAGCCTTTGGAGGTTGGCAGAGGAAAGAAAGAAAAGGCACAATGGGAGTGTGGTCAAAAGGGATTCAAAATGCTAACCACTGAGACAATCAAAGGTGACTCCCCAAATAAATGAGATTTTTCATACTCATGGATTGAATGACTTGATATGCTAAGAGGTTCATTCTCTCCACAATGATCTAGAGATTTAAGGCAAAAATAATATTCACAGGAGGGGTTTTTTCCTGGGGGGAGGTGGGTTGAAATTATCATATAGATTCTAAAATTTATATGGAAAGGGCCAGAACAACCAAAACTCACTCTCTTTCCCATAAAACTGTAGTAATCACAAGTTCTTGGTATTAGCAAAAGGGAGGCAGGGAGACAAAGTGATTTTTTACAAACGTGCAATTACAAAAGTAATTCATTGGAAAAAGAGTATTTCTCAAGCAATGATGTTAGAACAACTAGATGACCACATACATTTCAAAACTCAGTAAGTAAACAAAAACATACAAAAAAAAGAAAAGCTCAGTGGGAAAAAAATAGGTGAAAAGGTTTGTAGACACAGGAATGGTGAACAAAC